TCCCTGTAGCCCCAGCTGTCCTGGAACTATGCAGACCAGGCTGGCCTTGAACTCACAGAGATCCACCTGCCTCTGCCTCCCAAGTACTGGAGCTAAAGGCATGCGCCACCACGCCTGGCTCCTAGGATGGATTTTTAAAAATACCTCAGCTTAACATGGAAAAATAGATGTAAAACATTATTTAAAAACTCCACTTGGGGCTGGAGAGATGGCTCAGTGGTTAAGAACACTGTTCTTGCAAAAGACCCAGGTTCAAATCCCAGCACCCACATGGCAGCTAACAACTGTCCATAACTCCAGTTCCAGGGGATCTGACAGCCTCTTCTGTCCTCCACAGGCATTGCATGACACAGGTACAATTACATACATGCAGGCAAAACATACATATACATAAAATACAATTTTTTTTGTCTTTTTGAAACAGGGTCTCCCTGCAGCCTCAGTTGGCCTGGAACTATGTAGACCAGGCTGGCCTTAAACTACAGAGATCCTCCTGCCTCTGCCTCCCAAGTGCTGGGACTACAGACGTGCACCAGCACGCCCAGCAATAAAAGTTTAAAAAATAAATAAAAACTCCACTTTAAGGCTGGGCGTGGTAGCACAAGCCTTTAATTCCAGCACTTGGGAGGCAGAGGCAGATTGATCTCTGTGAGTTTGAAGCCAGCCTGGTCTACATAGTGAGTTCCAGGCCAGCTGGGGCTACAGGAAGACCCCATGTCAAAAAGACCCCGCCTCAAAAAAACCCCTCTACTTTACTGTGGACATGACCATAAAAAAACCACTCACTAGGTTTCTGTGTGCTACTTTGCTAGTTATCAACCTGCTGGGAACGTTTTATTGCTGATGAGGATTTTCAGAACCACACTGCAAACTGTCAACACTGCATGATTTGGGGCATCTACTGTAAATCTCAGCTGTTAAAGGGGCTGAGAGCACAAATGGATTAAGAAATACCTGTTTCTTTGAGAAAGGACTGTCTGGATTGTCTTGAACTTCTGCAACCTCAATAGACAGTGAAGAGGCATGTGAAATTCTATAAATATTTATTCACCTTACTAAAGAAAAAAAAAAACTCCACTTTAGGGGCTGGAGAGATGACTCAGTGGTTAAGAGCACTGGCTGTTCTCGCAGAGGACGTGAGTTCAGTTCCCAGCACCCACATGGAGGGCAGCAATTGTTTGTAACTCTAGTTCTAGGGGATCTGACACCCTCTTCTGGTCTCCACAGGCATTGCATGACACACTTACATACATGCAGGCAAAACACTCATACACATTATGAAAAAGAACTCTACTTTAAGAAGCATGGATCAGGAGGTGGATAGGGGATGCTGGTCCTGGATGAGCACAGGGGGCAACAGGCAGCAGAGCAGATGACTCTGGGCCTCTGTGGTGGCCCATCGGTCACAAGGTCTCAGCCGGCCCTGGGGCTGGGGTCAGAGGATGATAAAGACTCTTTCTGGCCACTGATACCTTTGCCATTGCCAGCATAGTCACCTTGTTTGTATCAACACCTCGGCACTCACTACGGGTGCAGTACAACTGTATCATTCAATCCAGAGAGGACATGGGACCTGCATCCCTTCTCTCTTCGCAGAAGTGGTCACTGGTTTTTGTTTTGTTCTGATGATAAGAAATCATTTCATTGACTGTCACATGGGGTTTGCTAGTGGATTCCAATTGGCAAAAAGAATAGTATTCACTAGAACTAACTTGTGCTTACTAAATTGGCTAGAAGGCATGCAAATGGCGTTTTCTTTTTAAAAAAAATATTATTTGTTATTATTTATGTGTATGCATGTATTGCCTGCATGTAGGTTAAGAGGCTGTCAGATCCCCTGGACCTAGAGTTATGGACAATTGTTAGCTGCCAATGTGGGTGCTGGGATTCGAACCCCAGTCTTATGCAAGAACAGCCAGTGTTCTTAACCGCTGAGCCATCTCTCCAGCCCCACAATGGCGTTTTCATAAAGATGATCAAGAACCACTAATAAAGACTCAATAAATCTTCAAAGAACACCATGTGTGCAGCTGTGAGATAGACTGCAGAGTCAGTCCCATCAGGTTTTCAGAGTTCTCACCACAAGATCAGGACATCCACAAGAGTAACTGCTTCCTGTAAAATACTATTTTAATGAATCTTATTTTTGCTTACCCTGTAAAGTAAGTATTTGCAGTTTGTCATTCAGAGCTGCCACTAGTCTGAGTGGTTTCTACCTCTACCTCTTGAAGGTCTTGCTATCCTCTATCAAAATTAAAAAAAAAAAAAAAGCACAGATGCACTAAACTGTCTGTTTAAAATCCTTGTTAAGATGGAAGCTCATCTTTAACCCCAGCACTCGGGAGGCAGAGGCAGTAGAGCTCTGAGAGGTCAAGGCCATCCTGGTCTACACAGTGAGAAAACCAACAAAAAAAAATCAAACTCTTGTTAACTGCAAGGAGACAAAATACTGGTCTTAAAATATGTATCATAGAAAATGTACAGCTTAGGACGAGCATGTTCAGTAGAGTCAAGTCTTTTTGTTGCTATATGTAGAATTCCAAAGCCTTTTTAAAGCATGATCACTTTGTGAAATTCTTTTTTTTTTTCATGTTAGTGTGGTGTGCGTGTGTGCATGCACATTCATGTCTGGGGGTGAAGGATGTAGGTGTGCAGGCACGTGTGTTCATGGGTGAGAAGAGACCAAAGGCTAAGGCTAGGGATCTTCCTCCACTGCTTTTCCACCTTGTTCAATGAGGCAGGGTCTCTCAATTGAACCCAGAGCTCACTGATATGACTAGGCTTACTAGTCAGCTTGCTTAGAGATCCCCAGTCTCCACCTTCCAAGACTGGAATTTAAGTGAGCCACCACTCCCACCTGACATTAATGTGTTCTGGCCATCTGAAGTCTGGTCCTCCTGCTTGGCAAGTACTTTTAACTGATGAGCCATCTCCCTAGCTCAAAATTTTTTGTCTTTTTTTGGGGGGGGGGACAGGGTCTCCCTGCAGCCCCAGCTAGCCTGGAACTCGCTATGTAGACCAGTCTGGCCTCAAATTCAAAAGATCTGCCTGCCAAGTCCTGGGATTAATGGCCTGCGCCCGGCCTTTTATTTATTTGTTTTTTAAAAAAGACTGACTCATAGACCCAGGCCAGCATCAAACTATGTAGCTGAGGCTGGCCTTGGACTCCTGATCCTCCTGCCACCACCTCCTGAATGTTGGGATTATATCCCAGAGCTGCCACCACTTTATGGATTATTTTGACAGAGAAGAGAAGTGCAACGTGACAAACAGGTAATTACTCATCTCAAGTCTAAAATGTAGAGCTACCCCAACCTGGCCATTGTTAAGAAAGCTCTATGCTCTTCTACCTCTCTGGCTAAGACACTTTTTAGAGGCAGTCTCTAGAGATCCACCCAAGTTTGACATTCTATGGCCAGATGGCCTCAAGTTTCTTCCAGCTCAGAAAAAACTAGGTACTTGGCAGACTATGTTTTCTACTTTAAATTGTTAAATATTAGTACATTTTTGTTTTCAAATCCATTGCTGGTGATGTCTATTTTTTGAGGATGAGTCTTTGGAAAGAAATGCAATTTCACTTTAAAAGGAGTATATTAGAGCTGGTGAGATAGATCAGCAAGTAAAGGCACTTGCTGCCAAGCCTGAAGACCTAAGTTCAACCCCCAGGCTTACATGGTAGGAGAGCTGACTCCTGCAAGTTCTCCTCTGAGGCTGGGGATAAAGCTACGGTGGTAGAATGCTTACCAGCATGCATGCACAGAGTCTTGGGTTCAATTCCTAGCATTGTATAAACTTGGTGAGGTGGCACACACCTATAATTCCAGTACTTAGGAGCTAGAGACTAGAAGATCAAAAGTTCAAGGTTGGGGCTGGAGAGATGGCTCAGAGGTTAGGAGCACTGGTTGTTCTTGCAGAGGACCCGGGTTCGATTCCCAGCACCTACAGAGCAGCTAACAACTGTCTGTAATCCAGTTCCATGCGATCTGATGTCCTCTTCAGGCCTCTATGTTCACTGCATGCCAAGTGTGTACTTACATACATGTAGGTGAAACACTCAAACACATAAAATAAAAATAAAAAATTTTTTTCAAAAACAATTTAAGAAGTACAACTTAATGAAACATGAGAAAATACTGGCTGTTTACAACATTTACCAACTAAACTGTGGTGCTATCATTGATTCAGAGTTATACTTTTTATTTTTTTTTATTTTATGTGTATGCATGTATTGCCTGCATGTAGGTAAGTGCACCTGTGTCCTGCAATGCCCGTGGAGGTCAGAAGAGGCTGTCAGAAGAGGCTATTGCATCCCCTGAGACTGGAGTTACAGATAGTTGTTAGCTGCCATGTGGATGCTGGGATTCAAACCTGGGTCTTCTGCAAGAATAACCAGTGTTCTTAAACGGTGAGCCATCTTTCCAGGCCCCAGAGTTATACTTTAGGACTAGGGTACAGCTCAGTGATACAGTACTTGTTCAGCATGCACAATGCCCCCCAGGTTCAATCCCTAACAGTACATACAGTTTAAAGTGTTTGTGTTATACTTTAAAGCATGGTTCTTTTGTTCAGTTGTTTGTTTTGGCCTTTTTGAGACAGGGTCTCCCTGCAGCCCCAGCTGGCCTGGAACTCACTATGTAGACCAGGCTGGCCTGGAACTCACAGAGATCCACCTGCCTCTGCATCCCAGGTGATGGGATTAAAGGCGTGTGCCACCACCAGTATGTTATTAACCTCTGAGATCCAACACTCAAAAAACTAAAAGTATATTTGATTTGCAATACCATTATTAGATAAGCATTTAAATTCAATACCAGAAAAACTGAAAAATGATGTTGTTACATCTAAAGTTGTTTAAATGAACTTAAAAATCCAATTACAGCATTGCAAGTCCCTTGTCACTTACATTATTGTAAAGCATTAAAAAGATTTTCTTGTGCATATACATGTTACGTGTCTCGGTATTCAGAACTGTGAAAATAATTTTCCATATGACTATAAAATGAAGTACTTATGCACTTAAGATTTATTTTTAAATTTACTTCTGATGCAACATGTAAAGAGCAAAGAATCCACCAGAAAAATAGTAAAGGGTATCTTGTGTTGTTTAAAGTGCTTATTAGCCTTTTATACAAAAGCAGTCATTTTTACAAACACACAATATTGAAAGGTGCTCAACAAGTCACTACTTACAACTCAAATATGTCATTTTGCTAACTCTGCACATGTAAACAGGTTTTATCTGCATTAATGAAGATTGCCTTGGATGGCCCTCAACTGTGTGCTTCCAATCAAGACAGTGCTGTCATGGTATCAGCAGCAGAGAGTGACAGCAGAGGCGGCAGCAGCACGTTTAAGTGGATCACAGCAGCCCTGAAAGGCCGGGGCAGCTTTCCAATCTGTCACATCCAAGGATGAGCCTTCTCCCTCTCTCACAATCTGCACGTACAGTAAACATTAAAGTCATCAAAACACTTTCCCTCTAGAGCATTTTACAGTCTTTGAAGGGATTCGAATTTTCTTAACCATTTAACCAAAGTCTTGCTTCTACAGAGGCGCCTTCATATTCTCAACATTTAAAACAAAGCCTAGTTCTGCCAAGAAAGGAAAAAAGAATTAATAAATGAAATCCTCACCTCTCAAATTCCGAGAAATAAAATTGTAAACAATACTGAAGCAAAGCATTGTTTTAAAGGCTGATAAAAATATTCTAAAATACAATGTGTTTCCTCACAGTGAAAAATGTAATTTCATTTCAGTCATATCACTTTTATCTTCTACATAATTTTGGGGAAAAGGCATTATTTAAATTTAAGTGCTTCCTAGGTGAGACTGTTATCTGAGTCATACCTTGTATGAACCACCCAGCTGTCTCACAGTGAGCTTCCTCTCAGGCCCATCTACCTTCTTAACTTTAAGCTCTTTTATTCCTCCTTCATCTCCCCTGAAATCTCTGTCCCCATATAGTCTAAGAGAAAATTTCTATTTTAAAAAGTTGCAACTTAAATACAACACAACATATTTGAGTTACATTTGATTTAAAGTAGTAATAAATTATGCTGCCAAATAACTTATTCCTGGTCTTGACTATAATAAAGCATTCCAGTGATTTCAAACTATGGTACATTATTGAATGTATGACATATTAAATATATATAAAACAATAATACTGCAATGGGAAGCCATTCAAATTCATCTTTGGACCTACTACCATTTGGCAAATATATTTGTTTTTCAAAGTCTTTGCTATCACCTGTGGTTTTAGTACTTCTGTTAATAAGAATATTTTGTCAAGTAGAAATAACATGCCTACAAAATATAAAATAAAAAGGTGTTCTCACTTCCTTGCTACTGTAACAAAGGCACTTAAAATAGATAGCATTACTACGCCTGGAAATTAACAATACCTAAATCTTTAAAAATGGGGTGCAAAGGAAAAGAAAATTTGAAAAATGTTATTTAAAAATAAATCTGTAGTCTTGGTATTTCTTAAGAATGTGACTTGTCAGATCAGGGTTCATCTTCTATCTGACAAGGCTGGGCCTCCAATCAGTCATTCACATGATACAAAGTCGAGCTCCATTTTGTAGGTTCAGTTGGAATTTTCTTGAATGCTGGCAAAACTGGTACTTGATTTGAGACGTTTGGCTAGTAAAACAAAAGTATGATATTTTAAGTTAAATTTAATTCTCCAAACACGCTTATTCTTATTTATACATAGATCATATTATTTGTCTATTAATTGGTTGAATTTTACTCAATCTAATTTTTTAAAAAAAAAATTTTATCTATTATTTTTTATTTTATTTTATGTGTATGTGTTTGTTATGCTGCATGTAGGTAAGTGCACCCGTTGCCATGTGAGTGCTGGGATTCGAACCCAGGTCTTCTGCAAGAACAGCCAATGTTCTTAACCGCTGAGCCATCTCTCCAGCCCTCAATCTAATTTTCTTAAAATTAAAACCCTTATAAACCTCCTAAAATTAATTAGAAACTACATGACTTTATTAGAAGCAGTACCAAATAATAGGCATCATCCATACCTTCTTGACCCTCACACCTTAAAACATGCAAATCATGAGCCAGGCATGGTGGCGCATGCCTTTAGTCCCAGCAGAGGCAGGTGGAACTCTGTGAGTTCAAGGCCAGCCTGGTCTACATATCAAGTTCCAGGAAACCCTATCTCAAAAATACCAAACAAAACAAAACAAAAAGAACAGTAACAACAACAAAAAACCCATGAAAATAATGAACAATGATAAAATTATGAAAGTCTGAAGGATTTCCCCCTAAGATCTGGAACAAGACAAGGCTACCTTATACTCAACATCATATTTAATCAGTGCAATACGATGAGACAAAGAAAAGGAACGTGTGTGTGTGTGTGTGTGTGTGTGTGTGTGTGTGTGTGTGTAAAGAAAGAAAATTACCTGTATTTTCAGATTAAAATAAATTTTTTTTCAAGCAAGGCATGTGACACATGCCTGTAATCCCAGCACTTAAAAGGCTAAGGCAAGAGGATTGTGAGTTTGAAACCAACCTGGACTGTCCTGTCACACACACACACACACACATTTTTCTTCAGGGACTAGTTCTGCAGTAAAAGATAATCCCAGCATTTGTGAGATACTAGCTTCAATACCCAACACCAAAAGACAGCAACAAAACCACACCATTATATATAAAATATATAAATATTTGAAAATATCATAATAAAATGCATTATTTTATATAATTGATATTACATGCTAATAAAATAGGATAATAAAAATTCAGCAAACAAACTCTGGAATTAAAAAAAAATATTTACAAAACAAAGTGAGTTGTAGATTACATACACATGCACAAATATATACACAAATAACACGCTGCTAACCAAATCTGTCACCACCAGTTTTGATTATGATACTAACGAGATTGAGTCACCAGGTTTAAAGAGAGAATCATGGCTACTTATAGTTAGGTGTAACTGCTTCTCATGTTCTAAAGTGAAAGCTTCTCCCAGTGTCACAGCAGAAGTACCTGGGAACTAAGGCTTGCCCTGGCCTAGAGGCTTGTACCACTGGTATAGGAGGATCTGTGTGGGATCCAGGTGCTTGTATTTTCTTTCCTTGTTTTAAGCTCTTCAGAAAACTCTGATTGCCAAAGACAAGAACTGTGGCTCTAATATGAGCAAAATGACAACACGACTTCTGGACCAGTCGCTTCAGCCTAAACTCAAAGAGAACCCTAACTGAGAGGATGGCTATTGGAAACTACTATCCTGTTTGAACTCTGCAGAAAGTGTGTTTGACTACATGTTCAAAGTCACCAGTAGCCATGACTGTCTATGATGGCAGAGCCAGATAGGCATGTATGTAGATGCAGGGCTCTGAAGTACAGTGTTCATTATGTTTATGTGTAGATTAGATTAAAAAAAAAAAACAACCTACGCCTTATTTACACTGTTGTGTGAATATCTGCTCTATACCTTGCAAACAGGTCACACTTCATTGCTAATTGCTTCCTGAGCTCCTGCAGAGAAATGCTCTATGATTTGCCTAGCTTCTGCTCCTGAACACCTGCTTAGAGCACCTCATCCCTGTGAATAAAGCATTGAGAGTTAGAGACTCAGCACTCTTTGTTCTACAGAACAGGGAGGCTCCTGGTCCCCAGCTTTCTTTAATATTAAATTGTCTGTGTGTGATATTTTATTATTAGCTACTTCACTGTCCCTTTGTGTCTACCACTACCCAGCCATGCAGGATGTAGCAGATGGCCTAGACTAAACGTGTACGTGTACTTCTTAAGCCTTTGGTGGATTTGGAAAGCAAACAAAATCAGTTCAGATTGCTTGTTTTTGTTTGGTTAGGTATCTACTTACTTTATTTAAAATTTTTGAAATGATCTACTTTCTTACTATCAAATTACTTAATACACCGACCAGGCAGTAATACTAGTAAGTGCACATACTGAAACTTTCCAGCCTCTCTAACCTCTACTTGATAAATACATCCCTCAAAATCCTATTCAAAGGATCATCTAACAGAGTCCCCTAATTCAGTTAGTCACTCTGTGACCCAACCACACTACATCTCTACCTCTACATGTGTTCTAATAATTGGGTTAGGGCCAGTGTACTCTTAGAGGACTGTGCCCTGTTCCTTTATTTGATCTCCAATTCCTACCACAGAGCTAGTATTTTTTAAGTGCTCAGAAACTGCTTGATATATGGCAGCATAATGAAAAGGACACAAGCCAGTGAGTCAGGCATGGTGGGGCACATCTGTAACCCCAGCACTTGGGAAGCTGAAGCAGGAAGTCTGCCATGAGTTCAAGGCAAGCATGGCTACACAGAAGACCTTGTCTCAAAACAAACAAATATGTGCTGGGGGCACAGCTCAGCAGCATCTTGCTTGCCTAGCATTGCAGGACTCTGGGTTCCACTTCCAGAGAAAACTTTTTTTTTAAGGGAAGAGGGCAGAGGTGGTGGCCCACTTCTTTAATCCCAGCACTCAGAGGCAGAGGCCAGTGATCTCTGTGGGATCCAGGCCAGCCTGTTCCACATAGCTGTTCCATGCTACCTGGGCTACAGGGAGACCTTGCTAAAGATTTTATTTATTATGAACAACAGCAAAAGAATCACATTTTCTCTAAATGGATATTTTGAAACTTTGGGACTCTGAGACAATATTGCAGAATTACAAAAGGTTCAGTATTTGTACATTCTGGTCATAAAAAGCACTATAGGTCCAGAATTTGCCATTCTTTTTGTTTTGGAATTCTTTGTTTTGAATTCATGTTTTTATAATACTATAAATTTCTGAGCTTTTCACATTGACAGTAACACCTTGGAGGTCCAACAGTTCCTTAGTTGAGTCTGTGAGGGAAACTGATCTGTACAAATTACCAGTATTTCTGGAAATACTTTGAAGAGGTTAGAGATTGTTTACATTTCGAAAAGTATTTTGGTGTGTTTTCCTAGACCCCAGTGTTGCTCAGTAGAGGGCAGTTTTCAGCAAACTGTCAAGATATGCCTGGTAAAGACATTTCTCCATGTAGTTTTCAAAGTTCATGTGCAAGTATTTAATTTTCGGTTTCTCCCCCCCCCGCCCCCAAAGATATGAATATACAGCCAGGTGTGGTGGCACACACCTTTAATCCCAGCACTTGGGAAGCAGAGGCAGACAGATCTTTGTGAGTTCTCTGTGGGTTCCAGGCCACATAACGAGACCCTGTCTCAAAAAACAACAAACATACATACATACATACATAATACATACATACATACATACATGCATACATACATAAAAACATGGAGCTGGAGAGATGGCCCAGTGGTTATGAGCACTGGCTGCTCTTGCAGAGGACCTGGGTTTGGTTCTCAGTACCCACATGGTAGCCAACAACCATCCATAACTACAGTTCTAGGGGATCCAACACTGTCTTCTGACCTCCAAAATGACTCAGGTACACTTACATACATGCAGGCAACACATTCATACACATAAAATAAAAATAATAAAAAAGAAAAACAAAACCTTATGATGATGTCACTGTGTGACATTTCTGTCACAGTGGCTGGCTATTTGAGTGCAAGTGCCCTTGGTTCCATTTATTTTGTTTCTGACTCAAGTGTTTGTACAGACAAGAATGTAATTAAATGATAGAGCCTACAAGTTTGATACCTGTGGAAATTGTATACATCAGCAGCTGTAGGTTTAGTGCCATCTTTAAAAGACTGAGTAGTACTTATGTTAATTTGATCCATTCTTTGATTCATATGGAACTGATGAATACCTACTGAAATCACCTACTGAAACACATGTAATGTGAACAGCCAGCTCATCACTTCTGTTCTAAGCTTTCTTCAGGTGTGATCTAGAATTACTGACTTAATAAATAAGAACACAGAATTATAAAAGATAAAAAAAGGTGGGGGAAGGGAGGAGGGGGAAAGAAGAAAGAAAAGGAAGGAAGGGAAGAGGGAGGGAGAGAGGAAGAATGGAGAGAGGGAGGAATGGAGGGAGGGAGGAATGGAGGGAGGGAGGAGGAATGGAGGGAGGGAGGAGGAATGGAGAGAGGCAGGAGGAATGGAGGGAGGGAGGGAGGAATGGAGGGAGGGAGGGAGGAATGGAGGGAGGGAGGGAGGAATGGAGGGAGGGAGGGAGGAATGGAGGGAGGGAGGGAGGAATGGAGGGAGGGAGGGAGGAATGGAGGGAGGGAGGGAGGAATGGAGGGAGGGAGGGAGGAATGGAGGGAGGGAGGGAGGAATGGAGGGAGGGAGGGAGGAATGGAGGGAGGGAGGGAGGAATGGAGGGAGGGAGGGAGGAATGGAGGGAGGGAGGAGGAATGGAGGGAGGGAGGGAGGAATGGAGGGAGGGAGGCAGAAAGAGGGAGAAAATACCCATGATACATCAGCATAAGAACTGTTGGCTTTGCAGGGCATGGCAGCCCACACCTTTAATCCCAGCACTCAGGAGGCAGAGGCAGGCGGATCTCTGTGCGTTCAAGGCCAGCCTAGTCTACATAGTAAGTTCTAGGACAGCTGGGGCTACAGGGAGACTGTGTCTCAAAAAGACCAAAACAAAAAACAACAACAACAAAAAAACCCTGTTGGCTTAAATTAGTGCTTGTGTTTCACAAATGCTTCTATAAAACATTAGTAGGTGTTATTAAAAGGTTCCACTGTCAAGTTTCTGACATGGAATCTCATAGCCTGTACCTTATATTCATGTACATTTTATAGCTCATTAAAATGACATGGTATACAGCACTTTGCAACTTATTTGGTTCATAATTTTTTCCATAAAGAATTTCACAGGACTAGTATTTTTAGGAACACATTCTTTTTTGTTTGGTTGGTTTTTGGTTTTTTTTTTGGTCTTTTTGAGACAGGGTCTCCCTGTAGCCCCGGCTGTCCTGGAACTCACCATGTAGACCAGGGTGGCCTTGAACTCACAGAGATCGCCTGCCTCTGCCTCCCGAGTGCTGGGATTAAAGGCGTGCACCACCATGCTCAGCCAAGGAACACATTCTAAGAGATGCTAACATTAAATATACTATAATGTTCTTCATTCAACAAACATTTCTGAGCACTTACTATGGGCCAGTCACTCTCTAGATTTTAGCGACATAAATGATAAACAAAAAAATTCTTGTTTTGATTAAATTTACAGTGCAATCAAGGGAGATGTATCAATCAGGTGGAATAAATAAAAAAAAGTTAAGTAACCAAAATTATTCAGCTTGCACTAGCTTAATGATTGAGTGTCCTTAAAGAAAGATGACACAAGGCTGGCAACATGGCTCAGCAAATAAAGGCACTTGCCATGCAAGCCTCGTGGCCTGAGTTCAATTCTCAGACCTTGCATAAAAGTGGAAGGAAAGAATGAAGTCCATTAAGTTGTCTTCTGACTTCCATACACACACTGTGGCACATGTGCCCATATGTGTGCATGCAAACACTCAATGATAAATTTCTGAAATAAGAAAGAACACGAGCACACAGCAGCTGTTACTGCATATATAAGACCTACACAAGATTAAGCCAACCAAATTTCAGCCTGAAGGGGGACAGGCTCATGTTCCACCACCTGCTGGCAACTAAGGGCTCTTAGGGGAAGGAGAGCCGGTTTTCTTCAGGGATGCAGCCCTTGAGAGGCTACCAATGCTCTAGCAGACTGTGGTTCACCATGCACACTAAGTGGACTCAGTGGATTTACAAAGAGGGCACAAGAAGTTGGAAAGGACAGTGGTGGGAGGATGGGGGAGGGGGCATATCTGATTAAGATATACTATATATATGTAAGTGTATGACATTGTATTAGTCACTTTTCTGTTGCTGTGATAAAAACACTGACCAAAGCAACTTATGAAAGGAAGAATTTATTTGAGCTTACGATTCCCAGAGAATTACAGTCCGTAATGGGGGGGAGGCATCATGGCCAGAGCAGAAGCTGAAGCCAAGCTCTACATCTTCCAGCAGGCACAGGAAGCAAGAGAGCAACTAGAGATCTGGCAAGGCTTAAGAACTCTCTAAGCCCACTCCCAGTGACATGCTTCCTTCAGGACAGCCACACCTTCTAAGATCTCCCAAAACAGCACCACCATCTGGGGACAAAATGTCCAAATATTTGGAGCCTATGGGGGACACTTTCATTCAAACCACTACAGACATTTTATATACCCTCCTGAATCTGTACCCCTTACTGACCTCCACCACATATATACATATATATATAATATATATACACATATAAAAGAAAAAGGAAGGACGGAAGAAGGAAGGGAGGGAGGGAAGGAAGAAAGGGGAGAAGGCAGGAGGGAGGTGGGGAAGGAACAAAGAGGAAGAAAGACGGATGACAGAAAAAGAAACCTATTCTTAGGTTGGGAGGAGCTGCTAAAAGGTCTCTGAGCAAGCAACCCTCTAGCTAAAGCCTGGAAGGCTAAGAGAGCCATGTTAGGAAGAGGGGAGGCACTGGAGAGGATGCATTGTGAGTGAGCGTGGTGTGAGGAGGGCAGCAAAGAGGCCAACTGCCCACCGTATCAGGAGCAGGGAGATGAGATGAGACCGTGATTCGTTGAAAAAGACTGACAGGGCTGGGTGAGGTGGTGCACGCCTTTACTCCCAGCACTCTGGAGGCAGAGGTAGATGGATCTTTGTGAGATCAAGGCCAACCTAGTCTACATAGCAAGCTCCAGGTCACCTGGGGCTACAGGGAGACCCTGCCTCGAATAAAACAAAAACAAAAAACAACCAAAAGAAAAGAAAACAAAGAAAGAGTGACAGCGACCCAGGGAGTGTGCAGCTTAGAGAGCAGACCCTGGAGGTTAAGTTTAAACTTTGACCTAGGTACCACAGGAAGACGTGAAGGACTCCAAGTGGGAGAGGGACATGGTAACAATCGCTCTAGCCACATTTGGAGTATGGACTTTAGCAGGCCAAGAACTAGAAGCAAGGGTTACAGAGAAGAGGTTAGCGTGGTAAGAGCTGATGATGGCCTGGGCTGAGGTGGAGCTGCAGAGGGAGAGAACAGGCAACAAAAGTCCAGTTTTGAAAGCATGGCTACCAGCAGAACTTCAGAAGGAGGTGAGAAGGCAATGTGCAAACAGGGTGAAAAGGAGAGAACTGAAGAAATTCACTTCTTCAATGACTACAGATTTGTGGCGTGCACACAGATGGATGGTGACTTCTACTGTAAAAACAAGTAAGAAACCACATTTGGGTGTGGGACATGATTTCCACTAAGTTTAAGAGATTTACCAGGCAAATAAGATGCTAAGCTTTAAGGGCACACTAAGCCATGGAAAGTCTCAAGGTGAGGCCTACCCCATTCTGTTGTATTCTAAGTATGTGCTTTTAGGACTGAGCTGTAAGATGCTCACAATTTTTAAATGGCTTTACTACATAAGCTTATGATGGGCTCTCCTATTGGCCAGCACTTGAAGGTGGTAAGACATTTCAAGCTCAGTTCAAAATGATCTATACACAACCTTTAAAAAAAAGTTAGGTGTATTAAAAGTGAAGTTAAATGAAGTAATGTCAGAAAGAAGTTTAAAGAAAAAAGAATTTTTGTAGCATAGGTTCCTAAACTGTGAATATTTGAGAGAAAAATATTGGCATTGTTTCATAAAAAACTACGGAGCTGGAGAAATGGCTCGGTGGCTAAGACTGGCTGCTCTTGAGGAGGACCCAGGTTCAGTACCCAGCATCTACACAGCATCTAACAACTGTCTATTGCTCCAGTTCTGGAGGATCTGATGTCTTCTTCTGGCCTCTGAGGGCACTGCACACACAGGTACACTTACATACATGCAGGTGAAACACTTATACACATAAAATAAATTTGAAAAAAAATTTTTTAAGTAGGGAAGCTAGAGAAATGGCTCAGCAGTTAAGATCACTGACTGCTCTTGTAGAGGACCCCAGTTCAGTTCCCAGCACCCACAGCGCTGCTAACAACCATCTTTAATTCCAGTTCCAAGGGATCTTGTGCCCTCTTCTAGCCTCATGGGTGCTGTGTGCATGTGGTGCACTTAAAAATCATGCAGGCAAAACACTCAAACACATAAAATAAAAATGATTAATTACAAACCCTGAAGCCACTAAGGAGTAAGCCCCTTCTTTCATTCTGATAATACACAGGAAGTCCGAGCCACCCAGGAGCCTCCCTCCAGCTGATGGGATCTCCCACTCTCCCCTATTTGACAGGGAGGAAGGAAAGGAATTAACTACACTGAGCTTGTGTCAAGTAATGTCTTTGGAACTCCAATTCCAATTTGTTCATATGCAGGTGGCATGTTTGCTCCTGAGTCTTCCTGCCTGCCGCCCTACCCAGCAGTTCTGATACCATTTCAACAGCTGTGGAATGGTGTCACCATATCAGGACTGCAAAGCCCATCACCACATCTTCCACTCTTGCCAATCTTATTTAGCACTAATCTAGCTTTCTCTATTAACCAGCTAGAAGTTACTGCCTTTGTGTTTTGTTATCTAAACTTATGAAATGCTCATCTATCTCTTCCACTTGTGAGCATAACTGCAGAATGTAAAGCATGAGGCCATTTCAGGCTAATATGCTTGGAACTCTCAGAATATATTCCTCTTCAAAAACTGGCCTAATCCCCCGCTCCCGCCCTGGTCCTTGTGATGCTGAGGATTGAGCCCAGGGCCTTGTGTATACTAGATAAGGGCTCTACCACTATGTTATATGGCCATACATCTAAATCTTTTAAAGATTCAACTAAACAAACAGATAACTATTAAAAGAAACTTACGTAGGATGAGTTTGCGTTTCTTTTGCTCTGAGTGAAGAAAGCTACTAAGGTAGAAGACAACCGGCAGAAAAAGGATAAACACAGACACAGCGACCACAGACACGGTGTCGCTGCAGGTGACCGAGCAGTTGAAGGTTCGACTCCAGAGCTTTCGAGTAATGTTCATCTGTGACAACAGACATTATATTATCGTTATTCTGTACTGCATTTAACTTGTCTTTAATTTCTTAATATTTTGTTTCTCTCCAAATAGGTACTCAGAAATAAGGTGAAATAAACAGCTTCAAAAATCTATTGATAGCTGGGTACACCTTTAATCTCAGCACTTGAGAACCAGAGGCAGGCAGGTCTCTGTGAGTTCCAGACCACCCCAATCTACATAGTGAGTTCCAGGCCATTCAGGGTCACTTAGTGAAATCCTGTCTCAAAACAAAACAGTGAAACAGCTGGGTGTGGTGGCACACACCTTTAGTCCCAGCACTCAGGAGGCAGAGGCAGACAGATCTCTGTGAGTTCAAGGCCAGCCTGGTCTACATAGTGAGTTCCAGGACACCTGGGGCTACAGGGAGACCCTGTCTCAAAAAAAAAAAAAAAAAAGCTAAGACAAATCTGATAGTTGAGGATAATTTCTTCTGCAAAGGAAAGAAGCTGGTTCACAATTTGTCACTGTATAAATTCATAACCATATAAAAATATTATATTCTAAACTCATAATACTCACTGAAATATACCAAAATGTCAACTATTTTTATATTTCAGAGAACTTGTAGTTATAAAGAGTCAAGACTGTTTCCTTCCTTAAAAATTATTTGTTATTGAAACCTGCTACAAACCAAATACTACTGTAGCTAGAGATGTAAAAACCCAAAGTCCTTATGTGCAGTTATTTTAAGTGCTTTTACCACCTTGAACACTACTGGTCCACTATAGTTCCCTCTAAGCTAGTGTGGTAGGTGTGATAATTCCCCAGTCATTATTTTCAACTAGTAAGCTTGCCTATTTTGACCTAATTTGAGCAATGATTTGTTTCCTCTAATGCCTGAAGGCATGACTGCCACCTAGTGATGCTCCATGAAAAGACAAGTTCTACCACAGGAATGGTCACTCAGATCACAAATATTTACAAAACAGCACTGCACACCATGCCAGGCATACATACATTATACCTGTAATCCCAGTACTCAGAAGTTGAGGCAGGAGGATCACTGCAAGTTCAAAGACAGCCTGGACTACACAGTGACACCCTCATTTCATAACGAACATACACTGGATATGCAGTGCATTGTCCTGCCTACTGGATGATGGACCGACAAACACTAGGTCCTCACATGGCTTATGTTTTCTGAGAGGAGACTACAAAAAAAGAGTGTAACATACGTAAAGAAAGTCACACACGGCCAGAGAGAGATGCTCAGCAGTTAAGAGCACTGGCTGCTCTTGCAGAGGACTCAGGTTTGGTTTCCAGCACCCACATGGCAGCTAACAACTGTCCCTAACTCCAGTTTCAAAGTATCTAACATCCAGTTCTGGCCTCTGTGGGCACTGCACACATGGGTGCAATTACATACATGCAGGTAAAACACTCAGACACATAAAAATAAAAGTATAAATTTCAAAAAAATTTAAAAGTAACAAAATAAGTAACAAAAAAGTAATAAAATAATTAGCACCAAGAACACAAGGAATCAAGAGGAAAGACCACTCACACTCACACCCCTCAAAACAGCACTCATTTTCAACTTTACAAAACAAAATGAAATGCTGGAGAGATGGCTCAGTGGTTGCCGCTCTTCCAGAAGATCTGAATTCGGTTCCTAACACCCACATTAGGAGGTTCACAAATACCTGGAACTTCAGTTCCAGGGGATCTGACACCTTCTTTGGCCTCCTCAGGTACCACACATGTAGTAAATTATCAACTCTCCTATGAAGTGCGTGATAAAAGTTCCACTTTAGTTTCACATGGACACTCCAAAACCTTGTTACTTTATAACTACTGTAGTTATTTCTGGTTGGAGATACCATATGCATTTTCCAGTGCATCTCCAAAAGAAGTAAGAACACTGAAGACATATTCAACAACTCTGCAAAATGTGAACCACACCAGAAGCAAAGCACTTACTGCGTCTTCCACATCGATGCATAAGTGTGTTCCAGGCTCAGCCTTATTCTCAAGTACGTTCGTGTTTTGCATCTCGTTATACAGAGAACTCAGAGTTTTATATGTATCATTACAGTTTTTGCATACTTCTGAGTAATTTTTTGGTGGTAGAAGATTGTGTGTGTCCCCCTAAAATAACAAAGGTAGATGTTAGACACACAAGACACTCTGGACACAGTATCTCTGCACTGTAAATTATTTGCCACCTACTCCCCTCACCCTGACAAGAGAACATCATGGTATGTTTAAGGGCTGGAATGAACCCAGAAACAAACTCACATAGCTACAGCCATAAGATTTTCAGCAAAGACACCAAAAACATACCTTGAAAAAAAGAAAGCCTCTTTAAGAAATGGTGCTAGGGGGTTGGAGAGATGGCTCAGTGGTTAAGAGCACTGGCCAAGGACCCAGGGGACCCAAGTTTGATTCCCAGCACCCACATAGCAGCTAACAACCGTCCGTATCTCCAGTTCCAGGGTATTCGATGCCCTCTTCTGACCTCTGTGGGCACTGCACGACACAGGGGCACTTAACACAGGTGCAGGCAATACACTCAGACACATAAAATAATAAATACAATATTTTTTAAAAAGAAATTCTTTAAGAGAAAATGGTGCTGGGAAACTAGGTTATCCACATGTCAAAGACTTAAAACTAGATCCTTAGCTCTCTTACCCTTACAAAAACCAACTCAAAATGGACCGAAGACTTTAATGTAAGACCTGAAACTTTGAAACTGTTAGGGGAAAACATAAATAAAACACCTGAAAATGCAAGTACAGGCAATGACTTTCTGAAGAAGATTCCAACAGCTCAGGAAGTAACATCAAGAATTCAAAGTCCAGCTATATGAAACTGGAAAGCTCTACACGGTAAAGGAAACATTATGCGAGGGAAGAGGCAGTCTATAGAATGGGAGAAAAAAAATCTTTGCCAACTATTTGCCTGACATCTTTGGAAATATAGAATGAAAGAAACATGAAAAAGTAAAAAAATTCAACACCACTGGGCATGGTGACACACACCTTTAGTCTCAGAAGGCAGACAGGTGGATCTCTGTGAGTTCAAGGCCACTCTGGTCTACACAGTGAGTTCCAGGCCAGCTGGGGCTACAGGGAGACCCTGTCTCAAAAAACAAAAATAAAAACAAAAACAAAAAAATTCAACACCAAAAGAACTAATAACCCAATCAATAAACATACAAATGAATTAACAGTTCTCAAAGAAAGTACAAATGGTCAATAAATACATGAAAAATATTCAACATCAGGGAAAAATGAAAATCTAAATTACACTGTCAGGGGCTAGAGAAATGCCTCAGAGGTTAATAGCACTGGCTGCTCTTGCAGAGGACTCAGGTTCGGTTCCCAGCACCTATATGGCAACTAACAACCACCCGTAACTCCAGTTCCAGGGGGATCTGATGCCCTCTTCTGACCTCTTTGGGCACTGCATGACATGGGTGCACTTAAATACATGCAGGCAATACACTCATACACATAAAAGAAAAAAAATATTAAAAAAAAATAAAAAATTGCTATAGTGAGATTCTCCCTCACTCAATCAGAATGGCAATCATCGAGAAAACAAACAACAGGGTAGAGAGATGGCCCAGTGGTGAAGAGCATGTACTGCTCTTCCAGAGGACCTGGGTTAAATTCCCAGGCACCTGCACTCACATGCACATACAGACACGCATATCCACACAGTTTAAAAAAAAATTAAGTTGACCATGGTGGTGACGGGGCCTGGTGGTTCATTCCTGTAACTGAAACACTAGTGAGACCAAGGCAAGAGGATCAGAATGCAAGGCCAGTTTTGGATACACAGTGAGTTCGAAGCCAGCATAGGCTACTAGCAAGACTCTGTCGAAAAGAAAAGAAAATGGTAAGGGGAAAGCAAAAACAAAGAGGGAGGGGAAGGGAAAAAAGGAAGAAACGTAGCATAATTCTATTAGACACATAATAGGGTTTAGCTGTGAAGAACAACAAAATTCTATCATTTGCATGGATGGAACTCGAGATCATGTTAAGCAAAAGAAGATACAGGAAAGAAAAAACATCAATTTTTCCTTTACATGTGGAGTGTGTGTGTGTGTGTGAGAGTGTCCCTGTGTGTATAGGTGCTCCTGTGTTTATGCAACTTGCGTAACAATACTGTTACATAGTATCTGGGACCTCTGATAATGTAAACAATGCTGGAGGGTCTCAACTATGTAGTTGGAGGCTGGCCTCCAACTTTGCCTGTTTCTTCCCAGTGCTGGGATCAAAGGTGTGTACCACCATACCTGGCTGGAATCTATATTAAAGAAAAAATAAATCTGCCAGGTGTGGTGGTATATGCCTTTGGTCCCAGCATTCAGGAGGCAGAGGCAGGTGGATCTCTGTGAGTTCAAGGCCAGCCTGATCTACATAATGAGTTCCAGGCCAGATGGGGCTACAGGGAGACCCTGTCTCAAAAAGACCAGGAAAAAAAACCCAAAAATGTCAGGGCCTAGAAAGATGGCTCAGCAGTTAGGAGCACTGGCTGTTCTTGCAGAATGCTGGAGTTTGGTTCTCAATACCCATACGGTGGCTAGCAACAGTTAGGTCATCGCTAACTCCAGTTCCAGGGGCTCTGATGAACTTTTCTGGCCTTGGTGGGCACTGCATGCATGTGGCGCACTTATACCCATGTAGGCAAAATACTAATACACATAAAATACAAATAAATAAATTTTTAAAAAAATGTTTTAGGATCTGAAAGGAGGGGCTGGAGAGTTAGCTCGGTGGTTAAGAGTACTGGGTTCGGTTCCCAGCATCCACGTGGTGGCTAACAATTATCTATAACTCCAGTTCCGTGGGATCCAACACCCTCTTGTGACCTCCATGGGGATTGCACGACACAGGTGCATTTACATGCAGGCAATACACTCATACACATAAAAGAAAAATAACAAGATATTTTAAAATCTGAGAGGAGAAGGGAACAATTTTGGGAAATGAAGGGGACCAGCAGAGGGGGAGGGAGACAGAGGAGGGTCATAGGGATGTGCAAATATGATCAAAGCACATCACACAAATGTACGAAAATGTCATAATGAAAAAAACTATCATTTTATACAACTATTGCATATTAAAAGCAAAACCAGGAAATACAAAAGCCATTGCTAATCCCAAAGGGGAAAATGTTACTGACCACCTACACTGTGAGTTTGGAGGGTTAGAGACCTGGTATGTGATCACATGGAACATACGTATATAGCACTTTCTTGGTGTCTGTTTTGAAAATCACTGCACTGACCAATGTTGAATATTGAAGACAATGTTGAAGACATCAGTAATCATACACTAAATTTACTAATTTATCTCATCATTACATATCTGACTAAACTATCGTATTCTCTCCAAATCAAACACACCCCTGCTGGGGCTGACTTCATTTTTTGTCTTGTTTTGTTTTGTTGGGGAGGTAGGGTTGGCTTGTTAAGAACAGGGGTTCAGCCAGCTGACTAAGTCAGGCTTTGGTCTGTGGCAGACGCATCATTTTCACACAAGGGGTGGTGCTAGCTTTGTCAAAGGAAGCTTATTTTGTTTACAACATCCAAAACCTGTTTGAACTGGTGCTTGTTGGCCTTGACATCCACAGTGAACACAAGCGTGTTGTCTTCTGTCTTCCTCATGGCTGACTCAGTGGTCAGGGGGAACTTGATGGCATGGTGGTCAAGCTTGTTTCTTCTGGGGGCGCTCTTGAGGATATGTGTGCTGCCTCCAGAGCCACAGGGTCTTGGGTAGTGTATTAGTCACTTTTCTGTTGCTGTGACGGAAACACTGACCCAAGCAATTTATAGAAGAAAGAGTTTATTTGAGCTTACAGTTCCAGGGGAATTACAGTCCATCATGGCAGGGAGGCATGGTAGCTGGAGGTGGCTGGAGCAGGAGCAGCAGAAGCTAAGCTCTCACATCATCACGCAGGCACAGGAAGCAAGAGAGCAACTGGAGATCCGGCAAGGCTTAAGAACTCTCTAAGTCCACCCCCAGTGATGTGCTTCCTCCAGGATAGCCACACCTTCTAAAACCTCCGTAAACAGAGCCATCATCTGGGAACAAAATGTCCTATGGGGGACATTTTCATTCAAACCATCAGTGGTGGCCAGAAGGTGGGTGATGTGTGGATCTTCATTTTGTGGCTGTGAACGCCTTTCAACAGTGCCTTTGCTTTGGCTTCAGCTTCAGGAGGGGCAGGAGCTGGACAGCGAGTCCTTGCTGGGCAGCTGCAACTTTGGACTGAGCTCGGAGACTCTTCTCCATGGTGCAGGAGCAAAAGGCCAAGGCACAGAGGTAGGAGGAGGAACACGTGGGGGCCCTGACTTCAATATTTATCTGAACGAGATGGAAGTTTTCTTGTGGGAAGTGCACTGAAACTACATCCCCACTCAATTCTCTTAGCACAGCTCACAACCTAGACCTTTCTAGTCAACAAAAAAGGCATAAACGAACCAGAGTCTGCAGTAAGTGAAGCAGAGGATGAAGCCAGCAAATCTGTTTCTAGGCTCTAGACTGGCACTGGTCTTTTCAAGAACAAGTTTATATATGTGCTTTCTATTCCCTTTATTCTTTACCATGCAGCATGGAGAAAGGACACCTATTGAACATGGGGATGCAAGAGAGAAGAAACTGGAGTAACTGAACCGATGGAGCTTCCACAACATGACCCTTATGATATAGGTGATAAATTACGTCTCCCCTTACACTGCTGTAAGGAAGAATCCACTGAAGACTTTTCACAGATCAATTGTGCATTTAAAGAAACAAAAATCCAAAAACCTAGCACAGAATCCTGATGTGTGTTGGGGGGGGGTTAACTTCTTTTACTAAAGTTCAAAATGCACATGCTTTTGGTATGGCACTTCTACTCCTAGGAGTTGACTGAACGAACTCTTACAAGAACTCCACATGACATGTAAAAAGACTGTGATCCCTTGATTGTTTCCCAGAACTTGAAGGTAAGACCCTATTGCTGAAGACAAGACATACTTTGAACACAGGACTTGGAGCAGTCGAGCTGGAAGCCTCCACCCTGAAGATTAGCTCTCATAGTATCAGAGGACTATGCAAGCTGTGAAAGGAGAAAAACCAATCATTGGTCTA